AACCACATTACTTTAAATATTTTATTTATGCCCAAATGGATTTATTATTTTAATTTCCTGGCTTTAATGGACACAAAGTCATCAAAAACATTTTCAAAATCAGCTTGTCTGCTTATCTCATTTGCAATTGAGAGGATTGCTGGGTTTGACAATTTGTCTTGACTAAGTAACACTCTAAAAAAAATTCTTCTTAATTAATTTGAAAGCTGACAGAGATCATCTGCTGATTCCCCAAATACCTGCAAGAGCTGGGCCAGTTGGAAGCTGGGAGCTGGGAATCCAGTCTGATCTCTTGCCCTGAGAGGACCCCAGTGCACGAGCCACCTTATGCTGTCTCCCAGGGCGCGCATCAGCAGGCACCCAGAATGCAGAACAGAGCGACCTTGAACCCAGGCACTCTGGTTTGGGATGTGCCAACACCAGCCCCTGAAATCATGTTCACATTAGTTTCAACTTATCCTGTCTTGACTTTGACATTTTGTTCTTTGTGAAATTTTATACTAATTTCAGTTCTTTAAAATGTTTACATTAAAATATTACTTATTCTGATTACTAAGTTGGAGGCCCCTTAAATTTTTTTTTTTTTTTTTTTTTTTTGACAGGCAGAGTGGACAGTGAGAGAGAGAGACAGAGAGAAAGGTCTTCCTTTGCCGTTGGTTCACCCTCCAATGGCCGCCGCGGCCAGCGCGCTGCGGCCGGCGCACCGCGCTGATCCGATGGCAGGAGCCAGGAGCCAGGTGCTTTTCCTGGTCTCCCATGGGGTGCAGGGCCCAAGCACCTGGGCCATCCTCCACTGCACTCCCTGGCCACAGCAGAGGGCTGGCCTGGAAGAGGGGCAACCGGGACAGAATCCGGCGCCCCGACCGGGACTAGAACCCGGTGTGCCGGCGCCGCTAGGCGGAGGATTAGCCTAGTGAGCCGCGGCGCCGGCCAGCCCCTTAAATTTTATAAACAAATGGGGCCGACCCTGTGGCGTAGTGGATCGGCTCAGCTCCCACCATTGCAGCCATCCGGGGTGTGAATCAGCAGATGGAAGACCTCTCTCTGTCTCTCTGTCCTCTCCCTCTCTCTCTCTCTCTCTCTCCTTCTGCCTCTCTGTAACTCTGACTTTCAAGTAAATAAATCAAAAATAAATAAATAAATGTTAGAAACAGATCTCAGCCCTGCTGCCAGCCTTGCCAACGCCTGCCCCACAAGGTCTCTCCTGGCCTCTTCCCTCTCCTCCGTCTGCCCTACCTTGCCCTCGCATGATCAGCAATGACCTGGGGAGGAAGGAGGGGGAGCAATGGCAGGCGTGCTAACTCGGGAAATCTTCAGGATCCACTTGGGCCTGTGAGAATGCAGACACAACACAGATATCAATATATCACCATGGATATATTCCTATTTTATGTGTTCATATATATTCAGCCTCCGTAATTGGATAAACCAGTCTCTCATAATAAATCTAAGGCCTATATGTGCACACACATCAGCCTACATGCATATCTTATACCATTCTATCTCACACACATATTGTATGTACATAAATTTATTACAAGGGATCGTCTCATGTGATTATACAGGATGAAAAGTCCCACGATCTGCCACCTGCCAACTGGAAGCCCAGGAAAGCTGAGACCACAGTTCCAGTTCAAGGGCAAAGGCATGAGAACTGGCAGAGCCAATCCCAGAAGGCCCAGGCAGAAGGCCCAGGCAGGAGCACCAGTGCTCCAGGTCAGGAGACGTTAGTCCTCACTCAAGAATAGACAGGAGGGGCTGCATCTTGGGAGAGCAGGTTAAGCCACCTCTGAGAACCCGGCCCCCATGTCAGCGCGCCAGTTCAAGTCCCAGCTGTTCTGCTTCCCACCCAGCCCCCTGCTAATGCACCCAGGAAGCAGCAGGTGAGAGCCCAAGAACTTGGGTCCCCATCATGGGACACCTGAAGGGAGTTCCTGGCTCCCGGCTTCAGCCAGGCCCAGTCCCTGCTGTTGCAGTCATCTGAGTGAACCGCTGGATGGAAGAGCTCTCTCCCTACCTTTCTCCCTCTCTCTCTGTCACTCCTGAAAGGAAGAGGAGGGGGAGAGGAGGGGAGGCAGGGAGAGCAGTCCACCCTGCAGGACCTCTGTGATCTCTGCAGGCCCTTCATGGAGCAGCAGGAGCAGGTGCAGCTCCGGCCTCAGAGTGCTGTTTACTCAGTCTACCTACTCAAATGCTAATCGCTCCCCAAAGCACCCTCACAGAGACACCAGAGAAGGTAACCGTGAATTAACCACAGCCAGGCCACTTTCCCGGCAGCAACCTGTGCTGAAGGGGAGAGGATTCTGCCTCTGAGAGCAGCTGGAGTGTCGGCCCCGTCGTGGACCACACATCTTAGTGCCTGAGGGGGCAACGGATGTTGCGACCTGACAGGAACAGATGATTTTTCCCAATCTGAGAGTCAGGAGAGGGGCTGCCCAGAGTGGATTTGAGCCAGGACCTGTGGGTCAGGGCGCCATATGGTTGCTTTGGACTCCACCGTAGAAATCAGGTTTTTTAAATTTTTTATTTAGTTTCATTTTATTTGAAAGGCAGGGGCTGGTACTGTGGCGTAGTGGGCTAAGCCTCCACCTGAGGCACTGGCATCCCACATGGGTGCCCATGCTCCCAGCTGCTCCTCTTCTGATCCAGCTCTCTGCTATGGCCTGGGAAAGCAGTAGAAGATGGCCCAAGTGCTTGAGCCCCTGCACCTGCATGGGATTCTCGGAAGAAGCTCCTGGCTCCTGGCTTTGGATCAGCCCAGCTCTGGCTATTGCAGCCTTTTGGGGAATAAGCCAGCCAATGGAAGACCTCTCTCTGTGTGTCTCTACCTCTCTCTCTCTCTCTCTCTAACTCTACCTCTCAAATAAATAAAATCTTAAGAGAAAGAAAGAAAGGCAAGGGGGTAAGAAGGAGAGAGAGAGAGAGAGAGAGAGAGAGAGAGAGGTTTTCCATCCTCTGATTCACTCCCCCAAATGCCCACAACAGCCAGGACTGGGCCAGGCCAAAGCCTAGGCCCAGGAACTCAATCCAGGTCTGCCGTGTGTGTGGCAGAGTCAGCTACTACCACCTCCCAGGGGGTGTATCGGCAGGAGGCTGGGATTGGAGGGGGAGCCAGGGTTTGAACACGGGCACTGCAGGATAGGACGCAAGCACCCCGAGCAGCATCTGAACCCATGTGCCACACGCCTGCCCTCGGAAGTCAGTTCTTTTGGCCTGCATCACCGGGCGGGCAGCATTGCCCCTCCACGAAGCAGCCGTGTATAAACAGAGGCTGTGGCTGCAGCCGTTCTCTGGTGCTTTCTGTACCTACGTTCCCAGACCGTGACTGGCTCATGTCATTGTCTGAAAGGTGCAGCTCTTTTTCAGCCCTCTTCCCACCTCTGTGAGAAAACATCTCCTCTTCTTTGCCCTTTAAAAGGCTTCCTGCCCCATCCTGGAGTAGGAACCACGCCTTTATGCTTCTGATCTTTTCATCTAAACTGACAATACGCCTTTAATTTTAAGAATGAATTTTAAAATCAACAAATCTCCAACTACTTTCTTTTCCCTCCTCCAATTATAAATTTCCTTTTCAGTCTCACTCAGTCTTATCTTGGTTTTAATATCTTTCCCTTCCAAGGTTATTCTGCAAGTTTCCTATGGGAATGCCAGGTCCTCTGTGTTCCGTGTGTCTATTAGTTTCTGTGTCTCTGCACCAGGAACACTTCCAGGGCAACAACTCAATTACTCCGAGACAACGGGAAAGGGAAAGCTACCTGTGAGGCCAGTGACAATGTCATTTGTATGAAGTCAGTGTAACTGGCTGGAAAGCTCTGTGAGAAAAGAGAGAGTACTCTAGTCTTCAGGAAGTCAGAGAAATAGAGACCAGGGATGGCATTTGGCCCAGGGTTCAGATGCCACCAGTCACCCACATCGCATGTAGGAGTGTTTGGTTCAAGAGCCAAGCGCTCCCCTTCTGATCCAGCGTCCTGTAAATGTGCGTCCTGGGAGGCAGCAGGTCTTTAGGACTGGCACACCTGGTAAACTGAGTCCCAAGTAAGAAGGACCCTGAGGATGTCAGGATGGAATTTTATGGCCTGAGATTCTGCTGGGTCTGGCTCTTACAGCTGCCTGCTTGCCTGGGAAATCGGAAGCTGATAAGAGCAAGTGTGTACATTGTTGACTTCAATGAACACCTGTCAAGGGAGTCTCTGTTCAAACCCACCTTATCACAACAGATGTGAGTCTCTGCACCTCGGCACAGCCCTGTGCAACAAACAGCATACATGGGCTGTGGCCCACTGCCTGGTGAGATGACTCCTCAGAACCTGCACCCCATCCAGGCAGCTGCCACCTTACTTTCCCCTTACTCCGCTGTCCTGTCTTCAGTAAGTATTCTCCACTTCCTTGCATTCTGGGGACCCTAAAAATCCCAGAGACCTAACTCAGGTGAAGGTCTTGCATCCCTGCTGCCCACATGGGAGACCTGGATTGAGTTCCAAGCTCCTGGCTTTGGCCTGGCTCACTCCTGGCTGTTGCAGGGATTTGGGGACTACTAGACAAGTGGATGGAAGCTCTCTCTCTCTCTCTCTCTCCCTGTGAACATTGTTTAAAAAAATAAAAATAGAAACTAAAAGGAGGGGTCTGCTAAAGTTTGTCAAGTTCCCCCATTTTCCAGGCTGTGCAGGAGATTACAGCAAGTTGGTCATGACTTCTGTTAAGAAGCCAAAGGGAATTACGGACCTAATGCCAAGTAAAGTTTGCTCAGGGGTTGCACATTCACCCACCAACAGGAACTCCAAAGCCAAGTCCATGTACAAAGCTGGCAGAATCTAAGAAAACCCCACATGTTAAAAAATAGATATAGATATAGATATATACTTAGAAATGGTCTCTGTTCTCACAGAACTGTTGTCTGTCTTATTTCTCAAAACTTGCAATCCCTTTGGTCTTTCTGTTTTTAATAGAATCATGCTACTTCCTTGAACTACTGCTTTAAGAAAACCAACAGGGTGAGTATGATAGCAACAGCAGCTGACACTCAGTGTGACATACAAAAGAGGGAATAAGGGAGACAGTGAATGAAGACTACAAGCCCCCTCTAGTGGGGACGGCTGCCACCCAGCACTAGCACTGTCACCATGTGGGAACACTGACTTGTGCAGCCACATAGTTCTGTTTGCAAAAAATCCAGGCGTTTGTGTTATTCCATCTTCCATCCTATTCTGAAATGTTGAATTGGTTTGAACACTGTGGGCCCCTACTGATGGGCTGAACTTTCCCAGAGGAGCACACGCCACGCCTCCTGTACACTCAAATGTTGTCACGCTTCGCTAAATATTTGTATAAATAAAGTAGGAAGAGGGTCATCTGTTTAGTTCCCTTTTCCTATGAAATATAGAAATACATACATATTTACAAATACACACAGGTTATATATGTATAAAACAAATTCGGATTAACCCAGTAGTGTGCAGGACTCTACCAGGCCCCGTTCAATCTCCCGTCCCCAACAGCCCTGACCCAGGAGCATGTTCAAAAAGAAGCAACTCAGATGCAATATAACAGCTGCCCCTCGAGGTGAGACTTGATTTAGAACTCCTATTTGAAGCCATTGCTTGCTTCCTCTGTCCACAGCTTCTTAGTCCATGGACTACAAGAAGTGACTCCTGCTCAGAAGCCACTCGGACTTCCTGTTCCCATGTGTCTGACTTCTGGCCTCCCTAAAAGGTCATTCTCAAGATCATAGTAAGACTGGCCTTGTGAGACTTGGCCACTACTTACCTGGGGCAGCTGGCCATGCCTGAGAGGCTTATAGGACAACGGGTGTTTCTGAGGTCTTTTTCCTGTAAGGGGGAGGGTATGTTTTACAGTCAGCAGCCACTCCCAGCAGCTGGCCGTCCTGTCATCCTGTGATGAAGGGCATCTGGGATACCACTAGATGCAGTAGTCACAGAGCCCAACACAGCCCTGTTATGGCCACACAGAGGGCAAGTGGATGTCACTGAAGCGTCTGTAGGAGTTGAGGGCTGGGCCACAGGACCCGGGGGCTCCAGAAGACGAGAGAGAGATCAGCAGAATCCACGGGAGCTCAGAGCACCTCCAGCAGAGTGGGAGAAGGAGACGCCATGCCAAAAAAAGAATGAATGCGCCATTTCCGCGGCGCCACTGGGGAACATGGTTCAAGATGTGGCGATGTGGCGAGCACCCTGGGGCGGCTCCCTGGGTAACAGTCAGGTCCCTCCTGGGCTTCCGTCCGCAGCCGCAGCAGCCGCCATGACGGCGGCCCCAGGAGGTCGGGGACAGCGAGTTTCCGTTAACGGCGAGGACGGTCTAGACTGGCGAGGAGACAGTGGAGCTCACCAGGTCTGTGGAATTAATACTTTTTCCGTTAAGAATCGGGTTTTGTAAACATTGGGACAGTCTATGTACTTGGGACTTAATGTGTCTAAGATAGTCTAGAGAATTTAGTATGTTAAAGAATAACCCGTTAGCCTGGCGCTTCTTGCTGAAAAAGTGAGATTACGTTAAATTAGATTGTGCCTCTTAGGTCCATGGGTGTTAAGTGTCCCAGCTGTGCTGAAGCACCTACGACTCACAGGGGCCGAGTGTGGCACCGCCAGCGTCCACCCGGATCGTTTAGATCCTGGCCGCTCCGCTCAGCCCGGCTCCTGTTAACGTGCCTGGAGGGCGGAGGAGGACGCTCCAGGAGTCGGGTTCCTGCCACCTGCGGGCCCCGAGCGCAGCTCCCAGCCCTGGGCTCTGGCTCGGCCCAGCCGTGGCGTTTGCAGCTGTCTGGGGAGTGACCAGTGCACAGAGGGTCTCTGGCTCAGCCCCTGTCTCTCTCTGCTTTTTGAATAAATAACTAAATCTTGTTTTAAAAAAAAAAAAAAACTAACACGCTGGTAATCCTGTGAGATTTGTTTAGTGATGTTTAAATACTTGGGAGAGGTTCCTTATTTGTTTATACATTTAGAAAGCTTTCAAAATGAAAAGGGATTCATTACCTTTATAAATAATGTTTAAATTTTTAAAATTTTATAAACTGGGCTAAATAGGACCGTTTGATAAATAAAAATATGATATGAAGTATAAAAATTAAAATTCTTTTTAAAAATTCAACATTAATAAATATTCACGTTAGCAGCCCAGCGACTACAAGCACTTATCAAGGATGACAGAAACCTTACTCTGGCATAGAATAAGGATTTCAGGAAACTATTATCCCAGTCCTCTTCCCTTGTTAGCTGTGTGAGCTTGAGAAAGTCGCTCTATCTTGCTGGTCCTCAAGAATTTTCCTCGTAAGAAGGGCTGGGTGGGCTGGTCCCTGAAGCCCCCTCCAGGTCTGAAATCCTAAAACAGCAGAGCGACTCTCTCGTGGGCCATCTGTGTGGCTGTGCTGCCGCCCTGGCTGCTGGCACCTCCGTCAGAAGCCTGGCTGGCATTTCTCCCGGGACTCGCTTGCTTTATGGTTTTTGATCGCATCCTATGTACTTGTTTATTTTTAAGCCTTAAGAAAACACTTCCTTCCCCAGTCCTACCTAAGACAATAGGGCAAGCATCAACAGGAAAATTCTCACCATCTACAGAACAGTCTGACTTTCCTGAAGCCCTGGGACCTAGACTTGGCTCTGGAAGCCAGTTGTTTACTCCACATTATCCATACGGTGTCACAATACCTGCTCACAAGAGTTAGCTCCATTCTCAAGTCAGATCAAAGACACTGAGTGGATCAGACAGTGAGGCAAGATTCTCACGACCTTACAGACAAGCAACCAGGCACTCGCTTTCGGGGCCAATTACTTAGCTGAGCCACCTCTTCCAATGCTCAGGGTTGACTGTGGGCAAGATTGCCGTGTGGCCAAGATTGTTTCACAGGCAAATCCCCTTTCAAACCTGACCTTGACAGTGTTCCTGCCACCGGCCCCTTCACCTGTGTCCCAGTCTTACTGATTTCTGCTCTGCGTTGGTTCTCAGTGCCACCATGAATGACCTCTGTGGCCAGCTGATTAGACTGTGCACCTGCCTAACTCCACTGTCCACAGGTCAGCATCCCCATGCCCGCGGTGGGGACTGTCCGGCCCGCAGGCCACATAAAGCTAGCAAAATCATTGGGTCTGGCCCTACCAAGGCAACCACAGGCAAGACTCGAAATTCAGTGTATCTATTGCAGTCTAATTTTCAAGCCGATAATTACGTGTGGCCCACAAATGATGCTATAAATATCCAAATGGCCCTTGGAGAAAAAAGTTTCCCCAGCCCCGTTCTAGGGATGTGCAGTGACCCCTGTGTCACATTGGACAAGATGATGATTTCTCTGGGATCCAGCTTCTTTTCTAAAGGTGTAATAGTGCTGACTTACAAGCTTCGAGATTTCATTTCATATAAAGTACTTAGCACGAAGCCTGACAGAAAGTAACAAATGGCATCTCAATAATTATTATTAGCAGTTCTTAACTTTGACAGGACTTTAATACATGTGTGGAATTCCCATCAGAATAATAACAGTCATCGGGGCAGGCATTCCATGCAGCGGTTAGCACGCTGCTAGGGACACTCACATCCCGTATCAGGGTGCCTGGTTCAAGTCTGCGCTACTCCGTTCTTGCTGCAGCTTCCTGCTCGTGCCACCCTGGGAAGCAGCAGGTACTAGCCCAGGCACCTACGTCACTGCCGCCCTTGTGGGAGATCCCAGTGGAGGTCAGGCTCCGTCCTGAGGTCTGGCACAGCCCTGGCTGTTGCATGCATTTGGGGAGTGAACCAGCAGATGTAAGGTATTTCTCTCTCTCTCTCTTTCTCTCTGTGCCCCTCCCTTTCAACCTTTCAAATAAAATGAAAATAAACAAGTTTTTAACAAAAGGCAAAACTGTTATCATCACCAAGTCCATTCCTCAGCCAGTGTTGAATTGGAAGAAGCTGGGTCATCAGTACCAGGTTAGCAACTGAGGGCCCTACGGTGTCTCCCTAGAGAGCAGAGGCGGAGTCATTTGACCTGGACTAGCTATGGTTTTCTTAATCATAAAGCAAAGATCATTACAATGTGGATGTGGTGGAGCTGGCCTGGAGAAGAACTGAGCTAAAGACACAAAATGTTTTGCAGAGATGCTGGCACGTTGAAAGCACTTGGTGGAGGAGGGGCTGACTCAGATGGGGATTCCCTGAGCTCTGGTTGTTCTCTAACCAGCTTGTTGCTGGGTCATCGCAGCAGCTCAATAAGTACTTGTTGAATGAATGAATTTTATCAATATCCTTGTTGTTACTTTGGAAAATTAAACAAGAAAAATCTCGTCTTAATAATGAACATTGTCCAGGGGTCGGCACTGTGGCATAGCGGGTTAAGCTGCCAACCTCAGTGCTAGGCTCCCATATGGACAGCAGTTCAAGTTCTGGCTGCTCCAATTCCGATCCAGCTCCCTAGAATTGTCCCTGGGAAGGCAGTGGAAGACGGCCTGAGTGCTTGGGTCCCTGCACCCACGTGGAGACCCAGATGGAGTTCCAGGCTCCCAGCTTCCTCCTGGATCAACCCTGACAGTTGCAACCATTTGGGATGTGAACCAAGGGATGGAATACCTCTCTGTTTCTCTCTCACTTGCTCACTCTCACTCTCTCTGTCTCTCTGTAAGTCTGCATCTCAAATAAATAAATGAATACATAAATCTTTTATGGAGGAAAAGAAGCAGAGGGAAAGAGGAAGGAATGAAGAAAAAAAGGAAGAAATAAACAAAGATCGATTGTCTATCTGCATGCCCTTGAATCTTAGGGAAGAGCAGGGAGGCTGTAAAATCTGAACCTTGCGGTGAGAAAGCAGGACCCAAGGACCCTCGGAATGCGGGTGCTTTAATTGGCAAACACCACAATGTGAAGTAGGTGTGCTTGTGGAGGGAACTGTGACCTTGATGAAAGCTAGGAGGTGGGAAGCAAATGTCACTGCTGAAGCAGAGGCTTCAAAGCTTCAACCCTTCCTGTCGGATGCACCTGCAGATTTCTCAGTTGGATGATGCTAACTGTTGAGGTTAACCAGCTAACTCCCTTTGCCTTGAAATTGGCTCTCAAAGCAGACTTCTGGGGGCTGCCATGTGGCACAGCAGGTTAAGCCACCGCCTGTGACACCAGCATCCATATGAGCACTAGTTCACGTCCCAGCTGTTCCACTTCTGATCCAGCTCCCAGCTAATGAGCCTGGATGATGGCCCAAGTGCTTGGGCCCCTGCCACCCATGTGAGAGATCCAGATGGAGCTCCAGGCTCCTGGCTTCCACTGGGCCCAGCCCTGGCTGTTGCAGCCATTTGGGGAGTGAATCAGCAGATGGAAGACCTCTCTCTCTGAATCTCCCTTTCTTTCTCTGTAACTCTGCCTTTCAGATAAATAAATCTTTTAAAAAAAAAAAAAAAAGGGAAAAGGAAAGAAAACAGACTTCTGGGTATAATTTAATTAACATCTGCAAATGAGAAGTGTACAGACTGTTTGGCTTGCAAAATGATGTTTTTAACCTAAAAATTGGTTGCTCAGTGCGCATAGCCATGCATTGCTTAATGACAGGGGTACAGCCTGAGAAACACATTGTTAGCTGACTTCATCCTTGTGCAAACAGCACAGACTATATCTATACAAACTAAGGCAGTTACCACACTGCTAAACAATGGATATAATCTTGTGAAACCACCATCATATATCTCAGTCCGTGGAACTAAATATTGTATGTGGCACAGTATCCTATTTATGCATTGGGCAGTTTCTTCTATAACTCTGAATCTCTGGGCCATGATTTTGGTATAGTGGGTTAAGCCACTACTTGGGACACACACATTCCCATCACAGTTTCTGGGATCAAGTCCTGCCTCCATGTCCAACCCAGCTTCCTGCTAATGTGCCTGGGAGGTAGCAGATGATGGCCCAAGTACTTGGATTCCTGCCACCCACATGGAGTGCCTAATTCTCGGCTTTTGCCAGGCCCACCTCCAACTATTGTGGGCATCTGGGGAGTGGACTAGTGGATGGAAGATCTGTCTCCTTCTACTCCTTTCTCTGTCACTCTTTCAAATAAATACAATCAATATTTATTTTTAAAAAATAAAATCTGAATCTCCGACCTCTGAAGTCAGAAACTCTGGACACCCGAACCCTGAAAAGCGACAAAGGCAGAGATGATAAAGGCTGCATATTTCAGAAGGGGCACCGGTCCCTGTTCAGCACAGTCTCCACAACTCCCTTTCGTCTTATATCGGGCCCACTCATTTCTTTGCCTCCCTGGCTTCTTAGGCACTGGAGTTTCCCATTCTTCCAGAGCCCCCGGGGCAGGCTTGCTGACACAGTGCGCCAACTGCTAAGTCTCTTGCTGCAAAGTAGTGGATTGCTACTTGGTCTTTTTCCTTCTGCCTCTTAGGGCTGGGCTAACGTGAGTCTGTGTCTTGGGGTGCCTCACCTCCAAACACACACGGAATACACATCTATGTGCCTGCTCAGGCTCTGCCTGACTTTCTGGAGAGAACCCACCTCACCTCCGCTGAGAACCCTTCAACTTCCCACTCAGGATCATGGAATCCTCAAAGCGCAGAGAGCAGACTGGCAAATGACATCTGGAGGACAGGTCTTTGTTCACAGGTGAGTGGGAGCTGATCTGTGACCTTCCTGCGGGGGCTGGGCTTTGCTGTCCCTGAAGAGCTCAGCTTTGATGGTCACCTAATTGTCTTGCGCATAACAAAGGCCAATGGAAAACTGCTATAGACAGACTCATTCCTGCCTGGCCTCCTTCATTAGCTCTCTTCTCTCAGAGAAAGCCCGTGACCTTGGAGGCTTTTGCACTTGCTTTCTGAATCTGCATCTCGCCCTTATCATGGAAGAAGGTGTCTTTCCGCTACCCCAGGATCTGCGTGCAGACGGGAACCACAGAGGCCCTGCCAGCTTGCGGCCCCTTCTTCCCTCTCATCTCAGCTGGAAAGGGGCTTTGCCATCCACACGTGTATCTCTCTCTTCTCACATCAGAGCACAAGCAAACAATAATTCAAACAGCATCTTTTTATAATATGAAAAACTTCGGCTCTCAGCACAACCGGAAAGGAAGCTATTTGTCCCTGCTTAGAATGAGCTATCAGCAGGCAAGTGGCGCTGCTTCCCACTGGGGCGGTAAGTATGCACAGAACCATCTGTACTTCTCATGACCAATGCCTGGCGTTTGCAAGTCACATTCAGAGGATAATCTGTGGGCAGACACTGAGGCTGACAGGGTTAAGGATGGACCAAAGCCTTGGATTCATTTCTGTGGCTCCAGCCACTCCGGTGACCATCCAGACATCCCTACGCATTCTCAGTCGCCTCTCTTCTTTACTGCGAGGGAATACACATTTAAAGTGATATACACCCTCCTTTGGGGACGTGTAGAAAATAACCTTGTATTATATTCTCTTCACAGGAGGCAGGGATGTCTGCAGTGCCTACTGCTACGCTAATGGATTCTTCCAGAAATGTCAAGGTTGATTATCTACCCAAGGGGTGGTCCATAAATCTGCTTGCCACCCATCCCTCCCCTAGAGAAGCCCACACATAAAAGGAGCTGGGAGAAAGCAGACTTCAGCAGCCTTGGGAGCGGCTCCACTGTTGTCCCCGAATCACTTACGTTTCTGTGGCCCCTGACCGAGCTTCCCTCAAAGGGCTCAGAACCCAGAAGAGCAGTGCCAAGTTAAGGGACTTGGAGTAAAGGGAAGCTGGATCTTCCCCTGAGCTCTTCTGACCTCGAGATCCACCAAGAAGTCAAGCGTGCACTCACCTGCAAGGTGCTGGGCAGCGCCTCGCATCTGGTCCCAAGTAACTCCACAGCTGGCGAAAGGCCGGAGAGCCCTCCTGTGTTTTCCTTCGCTTCCAGCTGTGTGCCGGAAGGTGTTGGTCCCAGGGCTTACCTTTGCAGATGAAAGTGAGTCTGATCAGTGTATCCACAACAGCAAAGGGAACAGCAACTCGGGCCTGATCCCGACGTACAGAGAAGGTTCGGAGGTCCGCGGGATATGGTGTGAGTAGGCAGGCAGCTAGTTAAGCCTGGATAAGTCAAACCCATGCAGTCCTGCATGTTATCTCTGTACCCGCCATTCAAAGATACCGCCTCCCCAGGATGCCCCTGTGTCTCACCTGGAAGCAAGAAGAGGAGACGCATCATCATATGGATATTGAACTCCGCATGGAGGGGCCAGTCCTGTGGCTCCGCAGGTTAAGCCGCCTGTCTGCAGTGCCAGCATCCCATATGGGTGCTCCACTTCCAATCCAGCTCCCTGCTATTGCACCTGGGAAAGCAACGGAAGGTGGCCCAGGTGCTTGGACTCCTGCACCCATGTGGGAGACCCAGAAGAAGCTCCTGGCTCCCGGCTCCTGGCTTCAGTATGGCCCAACCCCAGCCAGTGCAGCCATTTAGGGAGTGAACCAGCATATGGAAGATCTCTCTCTCTCTCTCTCCCTCCTCTCTCTCTCTCTCTCTCTCTGTGTGTCCTTCTTTCTCTCAACTCTGACTTTCAAATAAGTACATTTTTTTTAATTTGACAGGTAGAGTTATAGACAGAGAGACAGAAAGGTCTTCCTTCTGTTGGTTCACCCCCCCAAATGGCCGCAACACCTGGTGCTGCGCCCATCTGAAGCCAGGAGCCAGGTGCTTCCTCCTGCTCTCCCATGGGGTGCAGGGCCCAAGCACTTGGACCATCCTCCACTGCCCTCCCGGGCCACAGCAGAGAGCTGGACTGGAAGAGGAGCAACCGGGTCTAGAACCCGGCACCCATATGGGCAGAGGATTAATCAAGTGAGCCACAGAGTCAGCCCAAGTACATCATATTTTTTAAATTATAAAAACCATCACAGGGAGGGGCCATAAAATTCCCAGGTGGCGTCACACCTGCTGAAGCCCCACCCCCTACTCATGAAAGAAGCTGAGAACTGGGGAGAGCCTCTTTCTGCCACAGACCATGGCTGGGGGTGCCTTGCAGGCTTGGTTTTCTCTTTCTCTCCCTCTGACCCACTCATTGTGGGTACTTCTCTGTGTGAGGCAGCGCACACACGTGCATAAAGTGAACATTTTCTGTCTCACCTTCAATAAATCCCATGGCTATTTGCGCATGCTGCTGTGTCTCCATTTAGAATTCTTATCTCTGTGTGAATGGAAAGTAATATGCTCAGGCCCACATCAATTACAAGACAGAAATCTAGGAATACTTACAAGGGTACTTGTGTATGGAAATGCATGAATGATAAAAATAACCCACCTGACCACAATGAGCAAATAAATGGATGGAATTCCTGATGCTAGAAGTGAGTGGGAAGCTATAAATCCCAAAGCACTTTGGTCTTTGGTCCCCACACTCAGACTTCTGGTCAACGCACAACTTCCGGCATTTCTATCATGAGCTCTGTGCCTCCCACACAGAAAGCTCACTCTGGGCCTTTGGCGGCTTGCCAGGCAGGTGCAGTCAGTTACCTGCCCTCCCCTCTGTGGGCTAAGACAGACTCAGGCTAAAGCCCTCCCTGCCCTGCCACCTTCTCAGCCTCGCCTGCCTCTGTCCACACATCTGTGACACCCACGTGCTCGCCACTAGAGACACACAGACAGTGATGTGAGTTTTAAGCAGAACGAATTGTATTTGGGTTGGCCAAACTGAGAGCAAGTTTGTCCTGTGCCCCCCAACCAGGCCCCTGGAACATTCAGGGAAGACAAGTTTTATAGGGCTTGACTTTTGTGTTTATTTGAGAGGGAGAGAGACTGCCAACTCACATCCACTGGCTCACTCCCGAAGTGCCTGCAATGATGGGGCTGGGCCAGGCTGGATCTAGGAGCTGGGAACATGATTCGCTTGCATGGATGGAAGGAACCCAGCTGCTGGAGCCATCACCATTGCCTCCCTGAGCCTGCTTCAGGAGGAAGCCGAAGTCAGGAGCCAGAGACAGAGCCAGGATCTGAACTCGAGTTCTCCAGTGTGGAGCGCAGGCATCCTAGCCACCAGCTTAAACACCCCCTCCAATAGGGCTTGCTTTGGAGGAAATCGAAGACACTCATTAAGTCAGGGCAGGTTGGGGAAGGGAGCAGGTGCACCTGGCACTAAGTGTGTGTGTGCATTTCATGCACCCCTGGTCAGCTGGGGGCAGGGGTTAACATCCTAAGGAGGGGTCTTTTGGCTTTCCACATCACAAAGGTGAGGCTGAGGATGCCGCTGCTCCCCCGTGCAGAACTCCTGACCCAGCGTTCGCAGCTCCAGGAGTTTACCACGGGAAATCAGCTCACTCCTGCCAGCCGTGACTTTGCCTCCACTTGCAAGGACATCCGGCTGACTTTCTCCAGGATTTAAGCAGGATGAGGTCATTTTTTTCGTGCAGAGGGCAGATGTTACACAGAGCACCAGGCGGAGGAGAAGGCACGTCCCACCTCTCCCCTAAATTCCCCACGCGAACGGTGCGCAGGGGTGGGGGGTGGGGGTCTATCTCCCAAATCTAGCCGAGAAAAGGGTCATACGCCAAGACCTGGCTCTCGCCTTCCCCGCTACTCAGCCAGAGCTGTCTTGGTCAAGCTCGGGGCAGGACTGCTGGTGGACACGGCATCAGGCTCCCCCCAGGCCTAAGTTGGGTGTGGGCGCTGAGAACCCTGCCTGACTGGGGCCGATGTTGGAGCCGGGCATGGGACGCTCCTGGCGGGGAGACAGACCAGTCAGGCCGGCAGAGGGAGCTCTGGAGAGGCAGCGCACACCGGCAGCGCCCGGTCACCGCAGCCACCGCAGCCTCTGCAGCCGCTCTTCGAGCCCTGGATGCCTCTGCCGCCCGCAGGCCGCCGAGGTGCACTCCCTGCCCTCTGCCTGTGTCCTCGCTGTGTTCTCTGGGGTCCTGGCTGCTGCCCTCAAAGCCCGCCCCGCGTTGGGGGCCTCTCCGTCATGCGCTGGAGGCGCCGCTGCTTCGGGCCGCGGGTTGGGTCCTCACGCGCCTTTCCCTCCACCCCTCCTCCCTGGTCCCGGGCCTCCAGCTGCAGCGCAGGCTATCCGCACGGCCGCCTCGCCCCATCTTTCTGTAGCCACTGCCGAGCCAACCTCCTGGGGACCGCTGATCTGGGAGAAGGGTCGCGCTCCAACTGCCACTCCCAGGGAACTTCGGAGCCTCCTCCCCTTCCCGGGATGAGCTGCAGTCAGGAAATGTGGGACCTGAACGGAAAGAAATTCACCAATGTCCGACCTGGCGCCGTGGCCGCTTTGCAGCCCTCAGGACCTCGGCGGGCAGAGAGCGAGCAGCCGTCTGTAATGGGACTCGCTCTATCAGCCTTGCTGTGAGTTCTGGAGAGTAACACAAGTATTGGATAAGTTTATTTTGTTGCAGAAAAAAAGTTTGAAATCCCTGCATACCAGGGGGTCTTCCAAAAGTTCATGAAAAAAAAAATGCCTATTATGTAAAAGCTATTCATAAGTTTCAATATTGTGCTTGCCAAAATAAAATTACTTTTTTTTTTTGCAGTGCCCTCATAGTTATAATGTTTGCTGTTCATTTATCAAGAATCTCTTATGGCTTAATTGCATGGTAATATGGGGGCTTATATTGTATTTCTCTAAAATGAGATTTAAACACACAAAGGTGAATTCAGAGAAACCCTGACAAGGCTATAACCAAATATCCAGCACCGGAGGCCCCAGACATCCCATAATTTTACTTCTAATGGATATTATTATTCTCGGTGTCAAATAAACGCGCGTTGGAGGGACCGAATTTATTCTTTTGTATGTTACGACGTTCTTTCCGTCCAAATGACACGGAAGGGATGCTGGCCTCTGCCGACCAGGATTACCCGTCTCCGGAGGACTGCTAACATGGGGCGGGGTCCCTGCCAATGACCCCTACCTTTCCAGCTCTCCTAAACGAGAACTTCGGCAGCTGGCTCCAGTGCCTCCAGCTGCTGGGGGCTTCCATCTGGGCTGTTTTCTGCATCTTAGTGGTTGACGTCGCCTGCACCTGTCACCCTGAGAGCCGTTCCCAGCAGGCACAAGACCTGCTGTGGGGAGTGCCTCTGTGGTTCCGGGGCTGTTATGACTGTCTGTAGTCACAGGTAAGGGAGGGTGTGTGTGTCCCTCCTGTAGCTGCAAATTAATAGATAAGGAAATTACTACAGGTGACTAAGCAGTGTAAGGCCAGGGTGACCGTTGTGGACAGACACAGGAGATGGGACCCAAAGCAGACATCTGGGGACACAGTTGCACCAATGCGAGATTCTGCCCCATGTCTGCCAGGGGTGGTAAAGTGAAAAAGCTTATTAGGAATTTACCAGAAGGCTTAGAAGGGCAGGGGAAGAGAAGCTGAGAGAGGCGAGATTTGGAAGGAAGCAGCTGAGAGAGAAACCGGTTCCAGGTGTGAGATGGTTTGGGAGAAAGGGCAATTTGTGAGCTGAATTCTGGGAGTGAGGAAAGCCAGACAGAACTGGTTTTCTTTTTTCTTTTTTTTTTTTTTTTTTTTGACAGGCAGAGTGGACAGTGAGAGAGAGAGACAGAGAGAAAGGTCTTCCTTTTCCGTTGGTTCACCCCCCAATGGCCTCTGCAGCCAGCGCACTGTGCTGATCCAAAGCCAGGAGCCAGGTGCTTCTCTTGGTCTCCATGAGGGTGCAGGGCCCAAGCACTTAGAGGAAAGCCGGACAGAACTGGTTTTTTTTCAGAGCGGGCGCAGCAAGGCAGGAGCAGTAAGCTTCCTATAGTGAAGGGGAGGAGCTCAGGTGAGAAGCCGGCCTCTTCCGTGAGTTATCCCTGCCCTTGAAGGGTGTCACCCCCTGCCAAGTGGGGGTTGAGATGTGGGGTGCGTTCGCCCAGAGGACAGCCCCGGGAATCGCAGTGCGGTGGTGTAGAAAGAACAAGGACTAAAGCTGCCCCGGGTCTCACCCCAGCTCTGCTGTGAGTGGGAGAGAATATGGGCCTGGGGGCTCACGGTGCTCAACTGTAAGGGAGTCCCTCAGTCCCTCGCTCAGCCACCCACCACCGGCCTGGAGTGAGGCCGCTCAGCAAGGTCCCAGAAGACGCCTGCTTGGATTTCACAGTCCCACCACAACCAGGTAATCTCCGAGTTTCCTTCCGTCCCTAGCCTGTGGAGGAAACAGCTCTCTCAGGATCGATGGCTGTGAGCCCAGTCTTGTTCTGACCGTAAATGATTGTGACTGGGACAGCAAGTGGCCCTCCCCAAAGCTCGCTCAGGGAGGCCTCTAAAATGGGTATGGGGGGGTGGGAGGGACATTTGTCATAGAGGTTAAGGTGCTTCTTGGGACACCCACATCCCATATCAGGTCTGGCTTTGAACTCTGGCTCTGCTCCAAACGCTGGCTCCCTGTCAGTAGACACCTTGGAAGGCAGCAGGTGATGGCTCCAGCGGTTGGGTCCCTGCTGCCCATGCGGGAGACCCAGAGTGGGTTCCTGGCGCCTGACTTCAGCCTCAGGTGTTACAGGCATTTGGAGAATGAACCAGCAAATGTGAGATCTCTGTCTGCCTCTCTGACTTACAAATAAAAATTTAAAATAAAACTTCAAATAGGATGCTAATCAGCCTCCTATCAGCCGTTGTGAGAAATTAGCAAGGCCATGTATCCCCTCCCCTCCACCCTGCAGTGTCGCTGCTGGAAGACCCGCGTTTGCAGCCCCCGGCCCTCGGGCTGGCCAGGTGACTGGTGCCTGTCAATCAAGTGAAGCACAGATGATGTGAGTCTCCTGCAGGCTGAGCCCCTCGAGAGGCTTTTTCGCACTGCTTCCCTTCCATTGCAGAACCGGGAGGCAGGTATCAGGGCCAACAGTGTCCATTCGTTTTTCCAGATGAACTTTGTCGCTGGCTGGCCCAGTTCCCAAGAATATCCTGTTAATGCTCGCATTTCTATTTTAACCAGCATTGTGGCATCTTTACTACTTGAATCTTCCTACATAGAACATTGTGTGAATTATCGTTTGTCCAGGGTACTGGGGTTTTTCACGTTTATTCTGTGTACTCTGTCTCTTGCTCTGTTACAACTGAGGTCTTCTAGGAATCAAGCCACTCCTTCTATGAAAATAACCACATTCCACTCTCATCCGTTCCTTCTGTATCTTGCCAATTTTTGCAGCTAGAGCTTTTTCCTTCCCTTC